CTTTGAAAATTGGTGTGATGTGAGCCAGCCTCCGATTTTCCGGTAGTTTTCCTTGACTTAGCGAGTGTGAGAACATCACGCTAAGCGGCGTTGCCAAGATTGAGGCTGCTTCCCTCAATATGGCGGAATGGACCATGTCCGGGTCAGGAGAAGTGTCTAATCTTAAGTACTGCAGTTTCCGGAACACCAAGTCAGCGCATAGGTTCACTTCGGAAAGTTCTGTGGAATTGCAAACGAGACTGTCATCAGTAAAGTTAATGTCAGTCGGTTGAAATGTCTGGGAGTAATGTGCCGCCAGAAGGTTAGCGGCGTCGTCATCGTTGTTTGTCGGGCCGTTAAGACCCACCAGTTGGGAAACTCCAGTTTTGGCTTGACGAAGAGAGACTGCATAACGGAATAAGCTTTTAGGATTGGAGGAAAATTTGTCCATAAGCTTTGTCTGGTACTGAAGCTTATCTTCTCTTATAGCCTTCGTGCATATGTTCCTGATATTTTTATATTGCCTGTACGCCCCGTCGTTGTCAGTTCGTTTGTATTCCGCCAAACGGTGCCTTTTGCGGCTTAGCAGGCGAAGGGTACAGTTCTTGATTAGTGTAGGTGGCTTGTATATCACAATACTGTTTTTAACACTAAATTTTATAACCACACATAATCCTATACTCTCAGCTCACTTCTGAATCGCCTCCCTTTGTCAGTTGTATGTCCAACCATACCTTGTTTACACTTATTTTCTTTAACCTATTAAAATGCTCTTGCTCCTTCATGAATATTGGCTACTCTGCTTCTCGTCATTTCTTTTGCTTGCTCCCTCTTTGAGCCCCCTTGAGATATGGAACGGGTGACTTCATCCTGCATCATCTTTAAATCCTTAGATATTCCAAAGGGACACAAAGTTGGTTTTCTAGAAGCTTCCACCTTCAATGGACCTATCCTTGACCATCAGTTGCACATTCGCAACGAAACTTTCATAAAGCGCACCAACTGTGATACTGACTAAAGCTATGTACATTGATATCTTATAAATTATCAACCCAGCTGAGTAATTTACTACAGTGAAAATTGTATCTTTTATAACAATTTGATCTTGCCTGTAAACTGGCATGCCTCATGTAACAAACTGCTATTTGAGAATAAACTATTATTATTATTATTCCGCAGACTTATCAATAGGACAGTGACGTCACTCAGCAAGACTTAAGCATCTGCGTTGCACATGATACATACATACCTATGATCTGACTTACTGAGTCTGTTGTGAGCGTCTGCTATGAGATCTGTGCACACCTCATGGAATCAACCGCACTGCTTGCCAGATGTAACAGCAAACGGCACCCAGGTTGTTTGCATGAATTTTTCATGACTACACTGACGTAAAATGTTTCATAGGTGCTAGCAAAAGCCTAGGACGGTAAAAAAACAGTACAATAAAAACGGGAAAAATGGATAAAAACGAGTCACAATTACCTGAATCTAGCCTTTACATAAAAAATGAAAAAAAATCGAATAGTAAGCTGAGGCAAAACCACAGTTAACTATTAAGTTGGGTAAAAGTAAAAGATTAATCTACCAAACGTATAGCTCAGAACAAATTCTTTAGGTCAGAAATGGTACTTTGGTTGCGTAAGAACACAGCAAATGCTTGAGAAATGCAAATCACGTTAGGACTAAACTTCCCCTTCGATAAACTCCCTAAACGCCGTAAATCGCCAAACTGAATCACGAGGCAAACCCTAACTCCGAATCCTGAAGAGAAAAGGAAAAGAGTAAGATCAAGGAACACATTGAGTCCAGAACTGGGGGGGGGCAGAAATAAAAGGAATGAATAGCGATTGGAAACAACTGCAAAAGATCGTTGAGAAGACAGTTCGATGGAGAATCCTGGTATGCGGCCAATGCTCTTCCACGCGGAACGACGAGGGTTGTTTGTATACACATTATCAAGCTTATATTTTGAGGCTGTGGCTTATCACTGTCATTGAGTCCAATATCAGGGTAAAGTATCTTGGTAGTATTTCTTATTTCGTGGTTTTGGTCTAGCTAGGATTTTATACTATGAAAGTCCTAAGATCTTTACAGAATACTATACTGTTAGCTAAATACGTCAAGGTTCTCCAGTAACACGTTTTGTCGGATTTCAGTGATGTCACATTCCAGAGCAGCAGTGTTTCTAGAATTAACAGCTGTTATATTTCCACTGGGAATTTTAGTTAACTACAACCTAAAAGATATAAAATTTGGAAGCAAAGGATCTGTGAAGTGACAATAAGAATAATCCAATGAGTCAACGAATTTGTTGATTGCTTGAACAATTAATCGGAGATAATAGAACGCTAAATGGGTGGACATGAGATAATGACATATGATAGTTTACGAGGAGTGAGTCATGTACAGCTCGGTGAGCTTTTGGCAGGGTGCTTGTGTCGAAGATGGAATATTTAAAACTAGTTTCAGTTTCAGTTTGGGAAGGACAGGAGGCCCGATGGCCTGTGTTAGTCCTGGCAATGGTAGTCCCTCAGTTGATCCAACTTTCTTTTGAAAGAATCGACGGATGGAGCCTCAACCATGTGCTGAGATAATGAGTTCCACTCGTTGATGATTCGATGGGAAAGTCGATAGTCAGCTGACAAGTAATTTGTTCTTGGCTTGTGAACTTTTTTGGAGTGTCCTCGTAAATTCTCTGTTTTGGAAGACAAGAAAAATGAGGGCATATCAGGTGCAAATTTGGCACTAAGCAATTTGAAAACTGTAATCAAGTCGCCTCTAGTTCTGCGATATGACAACGGGAAAAGGTTCAGCTTGGCCAGTCGAGATTCATACGGAAGCTTCGCTATTCCGGGAACCAGCTTAGTCGCCGTTCTCTGAACCTTTTCCAGAAGCTCACTGTCTTTTTTAAAGCAGGGGCTAGCCGCTTGTATGCAGTACTCAAGTTTAGGACGTACAAACACTGTATACAAAGTCAAAAACGTTTTAGCGTCGACATGACTAAAAGCCCTACGTATTGACCATAACGTTCTAAAACCTTTGGCAGCTATTGCACGGCAGTGTCAGTAGTCTTTAAGTCTTGCCTAACGATGACTCCTAAGTCATTATATGTCTGGACGATAGGTAGCTCAGTGTTATTCATCGTGTATGTATCTGTACCTTGATGACCGATATGCATCACAACACACTTGGAAGTATTTATTGACAACTACCAGGTTTGAAACCATTCAGATAATTTCTTCAAGTCATTTTGGAGTTCTAAGCTATCACCCTCACATCTTATCGTTCTCCATATCTCGACATCGTCAGCATATAGCAAGACCGATGATGATAGGAGACGAGGAAGGTGATTTACATACACGAGGAATAGCACTGGCCCCAAAACTGTACCCTGGGGTACTCCACTAAGCACAGTTCCCCAGCCAGATAACTTTGAGTTCACCCGAACTCTTTGTTGACGCCCAACTAAGAAGTCTTTTATCCACATAAATAGATTGCCTTCAATCCCGACATTTCTCAACTTATATAACAGCTGGTTGTGCGGAACCTGTCAAAAGCTTCGCTGAAATCAATTTAGGCTACGTCTACAGGTAACTTTTGGTCCTTAAGAGCTCACCAGCTTTCACGAGCCACTAATAAGTTAGTGACCTATTAGTTAGTAACCTATTCTGAAACCGTGCTGTTTCTCTGACAGGATCCAGTTTTTATCGAGATACTTAAACAGCTACTTCCGAATAATCTTTTCTAATATTTTAACAACCACACTACTTAGGCTAACGGGGCGGTAATTCTCAGGTTTGTGTTTCGTATCTGTTTTGAAGACAGGACTTACTATGGCGTTTTTCCAGTCTTTCAGCTTTTGATTTTACGACTACTTTCGCGGGGGTAGGATTACCTTTTATATCGCTACTTTTTTTCTTTCTTACAACCTGTACCCACTCGTCAACGGTGCTGGGAGAAGCAACGACAGTTGCGTCGAACCTAGTGTTGGATTCTGGAGGGTTGTCGACGACCTGAGAGGTCAGGTTATGTTTACCGCTTGAAACCGATCGAGCCTTGCGATTGCGGCTTCTAGGCGTTTCCTGTGGGATCCCATCTGGGAGACGGGGAACAGAAGACCTTACTTTCTTTGAGCTTTTGTTTAAGGCAGGTCCCTTTGGAGACTGATTTTCCTTTGACCGGCGTGAGTCATCTGTCATCGAACTAACTTTAATTTGCTTCATTTCGATTTGCATGTCGACAGATTGAGTGCTGTGTTGACGCGTTCCGACTACGCTTGCTAAAACACTTCTTTGCAGCATCAACCAGTGAGATGGCCTCGGTTAACAGGCTGTTTGCAGCCAAACAGCACTGTTGACAAAGCCATACGCAACCCTTCTTACTGAACCGTTTGAAAGCCGCAGGCGTTAAGTTCGTGCAAACTTCGTGGTACCAGCTTTTGCACTCGTCGCACTGCATGCCGCTTTCAACGGGATAACGACAACCCGGACGTTGGCAACTGCTTTTTTTACAGTGTCCGGTCATTTAAAAGGAGTCCTTTTCAAAAAGGAACGAGATGCGATGATACTCAGAAACAAAAAAATAATCAATGTGCAAAAGTGAAGAACTGTAGATTGTTAGGACCAAAAGTACTAACAGATACAATTGAAAATGGGGTACTCAAGAGTACCAACGACAAAACTAATTGAGAGAACGGTAGAAAACGGTACTCTAGTCGAATACTTTAACTGAAATGGATTCAATTAAAGTGAAAACAGCAATCTTGATCCGTAATAAACGATCAAAACAATGAAACCTACTCAGCGAGGAACAATACCTCTATCCTTTTTAAATAACGCGGGGAATAATAACACATTGAAGATATCAAAGCAGCAAGTTCTTGTTAACATCATGGAGTAGTAGTGAGGAATGAGGGAGTGTACAATAACTACGTATCAGTGCCTCAGATTCTTTGAATGTTTGTTTTAATTTAGCCACTAACATTGCGGATCTTAGTGTGCGAGTTGTAACTGAAGGTTATGATGCTGCTCCTAGTTCTTCTACTGCACGTTGTTGCATCTGAAGTGGTTAGGTAAATGACAGTGTATGAAAGTAGCTAAGACTTAGGATCCCTCTTCATCCGTTAAAGTCTGCTCAACGCACTCTTATTGAGTTCGAAACTTCTTTAGAAAATGTTAAGAAGCTCTGGTTATCCAGGGTATCTGGAGTTGATCCCCAACCGGAATACTTGAAAAACTACCTTGATGTATGATTTTTTAAATATAATATTTCTTGCGCTAGGCTCAATACTACGGTGACATAACTATTGGTACGCCACCTCAGACATTCAGCGTTGTATTTGATACTGGTTCGTCTAATCTTTGGGTACCGTCAAAATACTGTAGCTACTTTGATATTGCCTGCCTACTGCACAGGAAGTACGACAGTTCAAAGTCTTCCACTTATGTCCCGAATGGTACTGAGTTCACTATTCGTTACGGTACTGGCAGTCTCAGTGGGTTCTTAAGTATAGATTCCCTTCAGGTTGGTTGTTGAAGCTTTAGCTCATCATATTACTTAAACAGTTGGGTTCGCTCAGCGTAAAGCGACAAACGTTTGGAGAAGCGACAAAACAACCAGGATTGGTTTTCGTCATGGCGAAATTCGATGGTATCCTTGGTATGGCCTACCCCTCAATTTCTGTGGATGGTGTTACTCCTGTATTCGTAAACATGATCCAGCAAGGTATAGTTAAATCCCCAGTGTTCTCCTTCTATCTCAGCAGGTTAGTTGTCATTTTAATATTTAAATTACACACCAACACTTGACTAATAGTTTTCATAATTATTCTCAATGTCTTCAGAGATGATATATTTGAGAACAATAATATGTATTACCTGATATGAGTTTTAATTTCTGACCTTCGCCTTTACAATCAAATCTATGTTTTCGTTATACCAGCACTAACTTGCAGCAGTTAGAAGTTCTGGGTTTAAATATTTAAAAAAACTGCCAGAAGTTGAAATGGGCATCTTTATAGGAAATAAAGAAGTCAGTTTTTCTAGTATTTTGTGGTATCCACCGTTTGCAGCGTTTAGTTTGTTGTACAAATATCGTTTTGGGTCCATTTTAGCTAATAAAAGCGGGTGTAGTTAAGTGATTGGTTGTACTAATGTACAAGGAAAACGTGCTTGTTGTTAGGGAGCACTTCTGATTAGTATTCCAGTCCAAATAGGTATGTATATTTACACGTGACTGACTAACCATCCAGTTTCATAAATTCAAGCATTAGGTCTAATTATTCTATTTTGTTTAGTATCAATATAATCCAGAAATTTGCTTGTCTAACCAAAAGTTTCCGTATTCACAACTTTTCTATAAGCGTACAGGCATTACTCATCCTTAAACTGTTATAGGAGCCTAGATGCGTATGTAATTGTTTATTTTTATTATGTTGACTATGCACTCCTCGTGAACTCATAGGAATTTAGAAATTAAAGCTTTCTAAATACCTCTAATATGAGCATAATTGTGCTAAATTTCGCATGATTGCGTCCTGTCGATTAGTGTGTATACTACATTTTCTTAGACGGATTTTAAATAAGACATGTAAACAATAAGGTCTTTCATATGCACCCGTTCAAGTTTGGACAGTCCACATTACTATTTTAGATCAGTGAAACAACATAATAGATAGATGACAATCCTCAGTACCGGTAGACAACAGCCATCAGGTTGGCTTAATGCCCTATGGTTATCTCATTCGAATTGCTGGTTTTTAGTGTACGGAGACTATATACTAAGTTAGAAGTAAATAAACTTTTCTCGTTGAAATGTTGCTTTACCATCATTCATGAAATGTACGCGCTCGTTAGTTTCGGAGGTAACACTCAAGAAAATCGGCTGTTCAGTTAGTGTTTATCCAGTGCTATAAAATCCATCCGGGGCATTTCAAAGATTATTTTCCACGGTATGGTTGGACTCGTTAGTGGACCCCTAAATATTTTAAACTGTTCAACGGTTTAAATATCCAATTCTCAGAGCAACTGTTGCAGAATTTAATAGGGTTTCTGAATCCAAAATAAACTAATGCTATTTATTCATTGAGTATTTTTCCAAAATCCTATTATGGCCAATACCATTTTCCTATTGCATTATTAGTTTCATTAATCAGTCAACTAGTCAATTGAAAAACAAACCAAACAAAATTAGTTGTTTACATACTGCTACATTCTTTATTGAATCTTATGTTGTAAATATGATAGTTATTGGTGTATCAGTCAATAACGTTACATGTGAAGGCTTATTATTGTCCTGAAGAGTGATGTTTAATCTTTATAATTTAGGAATATATCAGCTGTGCTGGGTGGTGAACTGATGATTGGTGGTATCGATGACAAGTATTATACTGGTGAAATCAACTATGTGGACTTAATGGAACAGTCCTATTGGTTGTTCAAAATGGACAAGTAAGCTAAAACTATGGAAATGTTCAGTAAATCTTATCATTTAAAGCCATTTAACTGGTTTCTTATTGATTAGTTATGTGACTTTTTTTAAGCCAAGTGGTTCACTATCCAAATAATATTTCCCAAACATACGTAGTGAAACATTGGTGTTAATTTAGAAGCCAAAAGACTAGTTTTATTACACTGTAGATGTTTTTACTGACCTTGTGTTTAAAACTCAGATTTATGACCAGCCAAGCTAATATCACCTGATAAAAAACGACGTTAACAAAAATATTGATGATATAACTTCTTCCCAAAATGCCTACTGGAGTGTTTTTTTATTTTTACAATGCAATGAGTACTATCCAAATCAAATAAATCCCTGACGAAACTGATACGTCTATAACATCAGTACCTTCTCGAATAGTTTATTCCATACAACGTTTTGTAAAGCTCAGTGGACCAATTTCAAGTAATTGCTTTAATTTATGTGAGCATATAAACATAGGCTCAGAGGTACCGAAATATATACGTCACACATCAAAGATGATGTTGTAAAGAGACAGAGAAAGGAAAGTGAGTATAATAAAAAAAGAAACAAAAATCGGTAAAAATTAGTGCCTGAAAGTGAATTAATAATAACGGTGATAATAATAATAGAAGCAGTTCACTTAATAAAAATACAACCAGAAAGAATTCTTGCAGTTAAAGAAGTTACTCTTTTATGAAAGGAGTTGCAGCAGGATTGCCACTGGCTTCTATTCTGAGCCATGCCTGATAACGCCCCAAGCCAGTGTGGCGCATATGTATCTGGTGCCCCCTTGTACCAATATTTACGTGTTAAGATAAGAAATAAATAAATGCACCACCTCTAGGACCCCAATCAGGGAGTCGTGAAGGACCAACAGAAGCCAGTCCCGTACAGCTTTCTTTCATAACACGACGGCATGTCATGAACTAACCATCTCTTCGCTTTTTCCAAGCAACCCCAGCATCAGCAAATAGTGCACGATGTGGGATTCGCTGGGACGACATTCGTAGGACATGTCCAGGCCACCGAAGTCGGTGTCTCACGATGGTGATACCAACTAAATTATTGTCGTTGTGCCCGAACACACGATGCCGAACCTCTCCATTACTAACATGGTGTTGCCACTGGATGTCAGCAATCCTTCGAAGACAACGATGATCAAACACGGAGTCGCTTATCATCCTCAACTCGGAGAGATCAGGCTTTACAAGCACAGAGTAAAACTACTCTCACTGATGCGTTGTAGATCTGACCTTATACAACCAGACTAACATTACGAGGGCGCCAAAGATGGTTCAGTTTGTTATCAGCCTCTCTAGCTCCCACTGTATGTGCATTGATCTCATCACCATCAGCATTTACACAGCTACTCAGACGCACTAATTTTTCGACTACCTCTAACAGCTCACTGCGAAAAAAGAATGCAAACAGCCCCCTGTCAGTCTTGTAAAAGTATTTTGTACATAAAGGTGCAAAGCGCATGCCATACCTACGGACAATGATTACCAACTGACTAAGTGCGGATTGCATCGCTTGGGTATCACCACCCAGTAAGCCAACATCATCCCCACACTACAGGTCGAAGAGTCTCCAGGCGACAGATCCACACCATTACTACCTACATCCAGTAGGGCTGTTTCTAAAACATAATCGATGGCAAAGTTGAAGAGAAATGGTGAGATTGGGGGACCCTGCCTAACTTCACTGTTTGAAATGAAACAATGGAGAGATGGTTATTTGCTTTCAGTCTTCCTGAGGTACTTGTATACAGGGCTTTCGATATGTCGATAAGCTTATAAGGAATACCTTTCTTCATTAGATAGTCCCAGAAAAGTCCTGTCCAACGAGTCGAGGTCGGCCGTGGTGTCCGGAAACACTATGATCGTTGACCTGTAGTACGGCGGTGTTTTAACATTTGCGGAGAATGAGGATATGGTTAATGCATCCCCAACCAAAGCAAAAAAGGGTCTGTTCTCGTGAGTCAGTCTCGCGTTTTGAATAATGCGTATAACGGAAGCTAAGACTTTGGACGCAATCAGAAATAGACTTATCCCCCGATAGTTGTTGCATAGGTGATGTGAACCCTTTATAAATGTAGGGACAACTGTCGACTCATCCCATGACGTTGGTACACTCTCTAGCTTCCAAACCTTTGTAAACAACGTCGTCAGTTCCTTAGTCAGAAAGTCACCACCATCTTTAAAAAGGGCTGGAGGTAAGTCATCTGGACCCGGTGAATTGTAGCGCTTCAAGAGTTGGAGTTCATTGCGGACTTCCGCCTCATTTGGTGGATCAGTCGTCACCGGCCTTGGAGGACAGAACTATCTGATCGATGTCGCTAGGAGAGAGTAAACTAGCTAAACTGTCCTTCAAAAGAAAGTGCTTGTAGAAGCCTAGTGCTCATAAGCCTCAAGTTACTTTACTCACTATTTTCATGGTGTCATGCAATTGCAGCCGTTTCTTATCCATGCTTTCCAGTGGATTGATAGCTAGCCTTGAACCTAGCTCGGTTTTGTGTTTAGTTGCAACAGAATCCGTAACCAATTTACTGACATCGATTCGTTTATGACGATGAATTTGTTGGCCATTGGAAAGTAAGGTAAGATTAGCGCAAATAGGGACATGGTCAAATTCCAGATAAGTACTTCGACAGGAGCGACCGTTTTCTACACATCCACGCCAGCGGTAGCTGAGTCCAGCCTTGAGATGCAGAGGGAGGACGCCAGGCGGTACATTGGCGATAACGGTGCCGAAAGTTAGTGCTAGCCAGAAACAGGTTGTGGTCTGTGCATAGTTGCAGTAGACGGTCCCCGTTATCTGACCTGCGACCAACGAGTTCCCACTGACCACCCAAACGAATCACTTCTGTCCTTAGATGCCCGACCTTTGCATGCAAGTTTCCGACTAGTACTACAATATATGTCGAACACTTTCTGTAGAGGAACACTTAATTGGTGGTAGAACTCATTCTTGATCGGATCCGGACTACAATCTTCCGGAGCGTAAGCGAAGATGATGAAAGACATCGTTTTTCACACCGATTTCTTCGCACTTCGATGGAACTTTTCAATGTAACAGCATATAACCGACTGCTAATGGAAATCCAATTGATCAGTGCTGTCTCAGCTCTAGAGCTTAGTGTGACACCAACGCCAGAAAAGCCAGACAAAGATGTCACAGGGTCACCGGATAAGCGCACGTAACACAAGCTTTTCAAAGCGACAGATGGAGAGCGGATTTGTAGTACTTCACTAGAGTCTTGAATACGGGTCTCGGATAGACAGCAGACATCGATATTAAGACTTTCAATAGACATAGCCAACCCTATCTGCTGTCCGATCTGCATTAGTGTGCGAACGTTCAAAGACGCCAGTTTGAATGGTATTCGTGGTGGTTGCATTCAACTTTCGACCAGTCAGTAACTCGAGATCGTTTAGATAGAACAGAGTTTCCACCATAGGTGAGCTGCTGTATAAGTTGAAAAATAAGGATACATCAAGTGTAAATAAAGTAGATAAGTAACGTAGTATGTAAATAATAAAAATGAGTGTGAATTGTCTGGATTTTAATTGAAATGAGAATAGTATTTCCAGTAATTATCGTCATTTCATTTGTGTGTGGGCTGTGATACTGCCCGGGTGCCCAAAGCGAAGCAGGTTGTTTTCTTAGGGGGTCACTTGGAGCCTTCGACCTAAAGGTCTCATCGATAAGGCAATGGAGCAACGTCAGAAGATGCAGTCCCATGGTAGCCGGTGACCAGCAATTGGTTCATACGCCGTTTGTTCCCTCAGGATCCAGTAGTCTGGCTCGGATATACTTTGGCCCAAGTTGCTGTAACTTATTTAGACGACGAGATAAACGGAAAGTAATCGAAATAATGTAACAATCATAATGAAAAAGATTGTATGTATTACGTTTGTTTCAGAAAGATGGTGGAAGGGAATATGTGAAGCAATGTTAGAATTCAAGATGTAGAATAAGATGAAAAGTGGATGCATCTGCTTCATTGCTTCCCTTGCCAAACTACGTCACTCATAATTCATTTTCTATTGTTTGTTTGAATCTTCCCATTAATGTGTAGGAATGAAATTGATCAGTCTCTTATTGACATATGTGTATCCTGTGTGGACTGCCCCGATACTGTCTTAAATCATAAGCATTATTACCAGAGATGGATGACGACTAGCAGTGGGATCCAAGACGCGCGTTCCGTCCCATGTAGTGTATAACGCCATAGCGTTTGAAGCTAACGGTAGTGTCCGAGTCCTGCCGTGAACATCAACACTGGCATGCAGGTACATCTAGCTGACGAATTCTAAAGAGGACGAAACGCGCGTCCTGGATTCCACTGCTAGGCTTCATCCATTTCTCCTTATGCCACTAATTTTTTCTCATTATTGGTTACGACAACCATACGGACCTCAACCAGGTAATCTGCACCTACTTACACAACTCAGTCTAACTGTCAATTACTTCGTAGGCTGATGCTACATTTTGGCTTGGTCTTCACAGCCTACTCCTACACCAGATATCACCCATAGTGGTAGGTGGTGGTTAGGCATACGTGATGCACGTCTCAACTATCTCATTTGTTGAAGATTCACTGCAATGCCAACCGATTTACCATCTTTACCTACTACACTGTATGTCCGACCTCAATTAGTAGTCCCAAACCACGCGAAAAGTGCGTCGGTGAACTGACTCAGAAATCTGCATTCTCAGTATGTGCTTTTAGAGTCCATGTTTTTGTAAGTTTATGATGTACATTGCCTAGTTCTACTCTGTAGTTTTTATTGGATTTTTATCTAAATATATGTATCTGTGTTTCTAAAATTCTCCTTCAAAAAGATTGACTACTTCAGATATAACGGTTTGTCCTGATGGATGTCTGGCTATTGCCGATACTGGCACTTCGATGATCGCCGGTCCAACTGACGAAATACAAAAAATTAATGCAAGGCTCGGAGCCACTCGTCTACCTGGTGGTATTTATACCGTTTCTTGTGGTAATATAAACAATCTCCCAACGATTGATTTTGTAATCAACGGAAAACCTATGACATTAGAACCTACAGATTATTTAGTGAAAGTAATTTTCATTCTGTTTTTCCTTATACGTATAAGGTGTGTCTGTTTATTTCACCTATATCAATACACTTTTTTTTTCAAACTAAATATCAGTGAAAATTATTTTGTTCTACATACTTGTCCCCTCTACTTGGATTTCCTCGTTTATTGTGGGAAATGTGTATTTCAGGTCAATTTCTAACACTGATGTCTAGTTAGGATGAAAGTATATATGTCTATCAGAGCTCAGAGAAAAAAAATTTCGCGCGGATAAAAATGTTTTTAATATTTGCATTAACTAACTGTTCAATCTTTTCTCCACATTTAAAACCAAACAGAATTGGATAGAGGTATCAAATGACTATCATGGATTTGTTTTACTTATATGTGTATCTGTTTTTGATTAACATATGCCAACATTTTATGGATTCAGAAAGCTCGATTGGTTTTTGCCAACTTGTAAATTAGGTGAAATGACAGCCAAATAAAGAATGAGTTAAATGCACAGCAGTTTCCTCTATTCCATTTTATGAACTTTAAACACGACCATTGAAAAAGGGGATATTTGTAGGTTACTAGTATTTAATCATAAGTTCACCGGCGCAGTTTGGGATCACTGAATGAGGTTGGACGTATAGAGTAGTAGGTAAAGATGGTAAATCGGTTGGTATTGCAGTGAATCTTCAACAAACGAGGTACTTGGAATGTCCATTACGTATGCCCAGCCACTGGAAGGAAGGTGGGTGGATTAAACCAAAATGTAGCATTAGCCTATGAAGTAATTGACAGTTAGACTGAGTTGTGTAGGTTGGTGCAGATTACCTGATTGAGGTCCGTATGATTATCATAATCAATAGTCAGTGACATGGCTCGGAGCATTCATTCTTTTTCACCACTTAGATTCTGAATCCCGTAATATCCTTCTACTTATTTTTACTGTTTATACCTAATCCTTACTACAACTGATATTGTCACTACTTTTAGTACTTTGGTATTGGTCTTAATAATTTATCTCACTGTGCTAATGTTGCGTGACAACTTCATTCTCTGCAAATATGTACGAGGTTCTACGTTGTGTACGATTTACTGGTTGATATGATTGGATATAGAAGTTGCTATCATTTATAATAATACCCTGTAGTTAGGAGAAAATTAAAATATACCGAGCGTGTGAATCTCATAACTTGTCTGGTAAAACGTGTATTGGGTGACTACTTATTAATTGGTGTCTTGAATCCTGGTCCTACTCAAATGTTCTTCCACGTTAAACAACTACTCTTACGCCTGTTAATCCTCATGGAAGATAGGCCGCCCACCAGGATTCTCCATCGAACTCTGTTCTCAACGATCCTTTGCAGTTGTTTCCAATCGCTATTCATTCCTTTTATTTCTACCCCCCCAGTTCTGGACTCAATGTGTTCCTTGATCTTACTCTTTTCCTTTTCTCTTCAGGATTCGGAGTTAGGGTTTGCCTCGTGATTCAGTTTGGCGATTTCCGTAATGTGTGTTCTATCCACTTTCAGTGTCTTTCCCTGGTTTCCTCTTCAACTGGAAGCTGGTTTGTTCTCTCCAACAGTAGGTCGTTGCCGATGGTATCCGGCCAACAGATATTGAGAATCTTGAGTAGACAATTGTTTACGAACACTTGTACTTTTTTGATAATGGTTGTAGTAGTTATCCTAGCTCCAGCTCCTTACAGTAGAACTGCCTTGACGTTCGTATTGAAGATTCCGACTTTAATGTTGGATGACAGTTGTTTCGAGTTTCATGTGTTCCTCAGTTGTAGGAATGCTGTCCTTGCTTTGCCGATTCTTGCCTTTACGTCTACATCAGTTCCTGCTTGTTTATCGATGATGGTGTCCAGGTACGCGAAAGCTTCCACCTCTTTCAGAGCTTCTCTATCAAATGTGATTATGTTGGTTGTGTTTGAGGATCTTTCATTTTCTCTTGTAGATGTTGAGGCCTACTGTTGCATAAGCTGTTGCTACACTGGTTGTCCTCACTCGCATTTGTTGCTGTGTATGGTATGGAAGAGCTGGGTCATCTGCGAAGTTCAAATCGTCTAGTTGCATCCAATCTGTCCATTGTACTCCGTACTTCTCAAATGTGGAGGTCGTCATAATCTGGTCGACCATCAGAAGAAAGAGAAAGGGAGATAGTGAAAAGCCTTGTATGACTCCGATCCTCATTTGGAATGCGTCAGCTGTCCTCCATGCACGACTTTACGGTGTAGTCTGTTGTATGGATCCGTATGGTGTTGACGATTTTCTCAGGTACACTGTAGTGTCGAATAAGCCTGCATAAGGTCCTCCTCCTGTACTCACTGTCAACCCGTTTCTCATAGTCAAGGAAGTTGATGTATAGTGACGGTTTCCATTCAGTCGATTGTTCAAAATGATCTGTGGTGTTGTCATTTGGTCTGTACACGATCGATCCTTACGGAATCCAGCCTATTGATTTCGAAATTGGGTGTCTATCAAATCTTTCATCCGATTCAATAACACTGTTGAAATCTTTTCCTGGCACTGATGCTAGTGTGATGCCTCTATCAGGCAGTCAGCTACAACGTAGGATCAGGCCGATATGTTCATCAGTCCAAGTTGCCACACCTTATTAGCACAACAAGACGAACACCGGATTCATAGAAGTAGTTAATTCAGTGGTGTTAAAATTTAAAAGAAAGATTGCATATAAGAGTAGGGTACAGGAAGAAAGAATGATATGAAGCTATTTTATTCTCATAGTTTAAAGGAAGACAGAGAGTGTATACACTGACGCCATTGTGATCGATTCTGATCCATGTCACCCAGTCTCCAACCATTGGTTACGATAGTCACGCGGACCCCAACCAAGTAGTCTGCATCTGTCAACATGGCTCAGACCGGAAGTTAGTGACTTCAAGGACTGATGCCACGTCTTATTTTGGCCTCCCCTAACTCTCTTTCGCTCGCCTCCAACACTAGTCTGCATTGCGCGTCGTGGTAATCGGTTTTCAGGCCTACTCAACACATGGCCCGACCATTTCAGTCGATGAAGATTCACAACCTCATCAACTGGTTTACCATCATTCCGTAATACCCTGCGTCTAACCTCACTATTACTTACCCGATGATCCCAGCAGACGCCAGCAATATTTCTAAGGCATCTATGGTCAAATACTAGTAGCTTACGAGTGTCTTCTACTCTTAAAGGCCATGTTTTGCTGCCGTAAATTAAAACAGAACGGACTGCCGCGCAGTATACTCGTCCTTTTATTGATAGACGGATATCTCGCCTTCGCCATAGGTGACGTAAGTTGGCAAAAGCCAAACGAGCTTTTCGATTCCGTTTAGAGATTTAGTCAGACACCAACCTGTTAGGGCTAATCAGACTTCCAAGATAAATGAAGTTGTCAACGCGTTCGACTACTTCACTCCCTATCCCTGGTTCAGGTGTTGACGCAGACCAGTCCTGAAGCAACAACTTGCACTTAGAGGGAGAGAAGCGCATTCCAAACATTCTGGCATTGTTGCTTAGTGCTACCAAAAGACTCTGCATTTTGTCAGCGTCTTCACCAAACAGGACTATATCATCTGCGTATTCTAAGCCGATAGGTGGACCTCCTGGAAGGAGATCAATACCCGAGAATCCAGTCGATGGGGATGTTATTTCCATCACTAGGTCTATGATCAAGTTAAACAAAAATGGAGAAAGTGAACAGCCTTGACGGACACCACTTGAGGTTGCAAAAGCAGATGAAAGTTCGCCATAAGCTCTGAATCGACTGGTCGTGTTCGAGTAAAGAGCTTTCACAAGGTTTATGTACTTCTGAGGCACGCCTCTCAATGACAGACACTGCCACAGAATCTCGCGGTCTACCGAGTCAAATACTGCTTTTAAGTCAAGAACGACCACCTCTATAGTTCTCACACTTGCTCAGATCTTTCTTCCCATCCTGTTGGCACTTGTGCTTCCTTTCGAATCTTTCTGAATAGGACGTGAAACATGTTTAGAGTCAGCTTCAAGTGGTATGTTGTCTGTTCCTTCTTTATTGTAGTCTTGATATGTCTGATGACCATGCTAATTTCTTCGATTGTCGGTGTGGTGACCTCTATAGTAAAGTCTGTACGTGTTGCTTCGAAACCTGGTGGGTTCAGTGGGGCTGGTCTATCACAGACTCGTACGAAAATGCTCCACCCACCTGTTCCGATGTTCTTGAATCAAAGTGACGGGCTTGCCTTCTTTGTTCTTGACTAGTCGCTGTGGTTTACAATATTTCCTTGCTAGTCTCTTCGTAGTGTCATATAGTTGTCTCATATTTCCTCCCTTTATAGCTTTTCCCACCGTCATCGCAAGATCTTCCGCGTACTTCTGTTTGTCGGCTCTACTGCCCCTCTTTACTCCCTTATCCGCTTCTGTGCATTCAGTCTGTGCCTCGAGTCCTGTTCAGATTATCTATAGAAATGCATTCTTTATGATGGTCCTCCTGTAGACCCAGAACGTTTTCACATGTTGAAGTTAGTGCTTCTTTGGTTCCTTTCCAGTTATCCTACATAGTAGTTCCCTCTCCTTGGAGTAGACCTTGTCAGGTTTGGAACCTTTTATTGAGAGCTATCCTTAATCCACAGAGTTTGTCAGTATCTCTAAGAAAGGCGGTATGTAACCTTTGTAATGCTGTTTCTTCATTTGTCCAGTGCTTCTTTAGCTTCAGTTTGATCTTGGCAACCACCAGTCACCACCACCAGGTGGTGATCCGAAGCTGTGTCGGTACTTTTCTGTGTTCTTACGTCTTCCATTGTTCTTCTGAATTGTTTAGTGATACAGATATGGTCGACCCGGTTCTCTGTAATGTGATTCGGTGAGACTCACGTAGCTTTGTGTATGTGTTTGTGGGGGGGGGATGTATTGCTACCTATAACCATGGTATTGAAGGCATATAAGTTTGCAAATCTCTCACCATTCTCGTTTTTTCTTCCAGTCCATGTCATCTCATGATATTTTAATATCTAGTGTTATCCACTCCGACTTTGGCGTTTAGGTCTATCAGGATGATCAGGTCTTTTCCTGAGCACTTCGCTATGATCGATTGCAGCCTCTCGTAAAACTGATCTTTACTGTCGTTGTTGCTATCATTGGTGGGTGCATAACATTAGATAACATTCATTATGATCCCATCTTCTTTGTTTTGAAGGGTGGTTTGATGATTCTGGATAAATGAGATTCCCATCGTAGAAGTGCTTTTCGTGGTTGTCTGGACAGCATTGGTGTGACTCCTTGTGTGTGCGAAACACTTTCTCCTTCATGAACAGAGTACAACCTAATCTCTTCCGAATCTAATCTTTCCTGTCCAGCTTGGGTTCCATGGGTTTCACTGATTTTGAAAACCGCCAAGTTGTATCTTTTGATTTCCGCAGCTATTTGACTGGTCCTTTTAATCTCCAACATTGTCTGGACATTCCATATACCTATAATAAATGCCGCTCTGGTTTTGAGAAGGGACATTAGCCGATGACTTCCGACGAATCTCGGCTTTCATCATGAGGCGTCACAATTCTTCTAAACGTAGATCCTTTAACTCCCATTACATTGTATAGATTGTTTTTTTCTGGTTAGTGTTTTTTTAGCAGGGTTGTTTTCTATGGGATGTGGTTGCTGACCCCATATCTAACCCTCCTTTTTTATCCGGGTTCGAGACCGGCAGTAACCGTAGAAGAGCTACAGGTGAAGTTAATGACTACTACTCCTTGTGTGTAATTATCTTTTATTGTGTCGCTACGTCTATATGCATTTCTTTTCAGTAAAACATGTTTGATTGTTTCTGTGCATGATTTTGATTTCGATACAGGTATCCAAAATGGGTTCTGAGATTTGTCTGAGCGGTTTCATTGGATTGGACTTGCCGAAGAGGAAATTATGGATACTAGGAGATATATTCATAGGTAAATTTTATACAGTATTCGATATGGGCAGAAGCCGTGTCGGTTTTGCGAAAGCTCTTCATCCAGATTCTCTTCATCGTACAAAAACATATATCCCTATGATGCGATTATTCCCTGCTCAATCAGTTCCACAAGCGGCTTTAGAAACTCAAAATGGGGTGTTCGCCTTTTCCAAACTTCTTTTAGATGAAGTTTGAGAAAATGATTACTCCATTCCGATTTCTACCGAAATGATGCATCTATTTTATTTAAAAAGAGAGTAATACTTATTATTCATCGTTGATAATCTACATTTTTAACTATTATGTGACTTTACTCTATTATCCGGTGTGTTTCGTCTCATTATTGTCATAGTTACCTTTTGCACCTTTTTGTTAATCCCAAAAATGTTGTATTACACCTTATATAAATCTTGTCGTGTTCAATCGCAAAATTAAACGTAACTTGTTAAATCGCGTTTCGCTAAACTTGCAATAACCAAACTGTCCAGTTTCTTAAAGCAATTTTTCATTCTAACTTCAGTCGTATTGTAGCATGGCTTAGAATATTTTCAGGTAGCTTGTACATAATACTCCTGCAGCGAAGTTTGTATCTGTAACTCAGACCTAGACATAGTCCCTCGGATGAACAATATGTAATTCCGTTGGCCTCCATGCAGAAATAGTGTAGCTTAAAGTTGTATATGAATCTGTACTGAGTTAAGTTACTCCTGTTCAGTTGTTTAATTTTAAGATTCTATAACGGTAGGATTTTCAACAATGGAGCTTCCAATAACTTTCCAGATAAAGTTATCAGCACAAATTTCAGATAGAAATAGGGCATTCGAATCTATGCACAAATGATTAACACCTTGTTCTGTTGACCTTGGGTTTGGTTGGACAATGACGGCAGAATGTTTCATTTCTAAATACTTGTCACGTAGAGTAGTAACTAGTTGGTCAGTGATTATGGTATCGCTTTAGATCAAAGATTATTAATGAAGTTACATCACTACTATGAATTTACATTGTGTTATCTAATGTTTGGCGATACAGTTGTTCTGACGACTTAAATCAACGATCTCAGTAGGTACGGCTTGCTAAGTAAACAAAACTTCTACTTTTGCTTTACGACATTATTACAACGGATTCGTTCATCAACCCTTGGAAGCCAGGTTACACGACTTGGTTCTAAGGATCGGTGAAAGTCGGTCGAGTGACTATTCTGTTCATTAACAATACTTTGTGGCTTCTAGAAGTTAAAATCCATTTTTGCTCAATGCTTTCCGTACTAATACTTGGTAGTTGAGATTGTGGTGTGTTTAATCTATCGGGTTATAATGTAAGTTGAGACAGTCTTTATATTGAATGCAGTTGAATTTTGTCAAAATCTCTGGACTATTTCAAGTAGTATTAAATCCTCATAGAAATAACGGTCGTTCTTTTTTGATGATTGTCCGTATTACAGTTTTCCACCTGAATTACAACAGGAGAATAGGTTTCATATGGAACATCAACAAATATTTTTTCCTAACCTAATGAAAATAATATTTTTGTAATATTTCTTATCAGCCAAACCGGTCTCATGAGCTTTTTGGGGTGTGCTGGGGGTTCACTACTAGTCATTTTGCTTTAAGAGAGTTTTATCGACTGTCGCTTTTTACTGCTGACTTGCACATTTTGACTGTTACTTAGTATTTTCAAAATTTTCCTGGTTTTCGAAACCCGGTTTTTGTTCTAAGTCACTGTTTACGTTGCTGATGTTCCTCACTGTCACGCAGTCTCTGATACTGAAAACAACGAGAGAATTGAAATCTAGTAGTCCGAAGTATCCACTAGCTCTCCAACATTTTTAACGGTTGTCCCCGTTCGTATGTATCGTTAAAATGAATTTAACGATTGTTTATCTATACTGTTACTTAGTATATGATATAAATTGTATTCATAAACAATTCGGAATTCCAGTACAAGTTTCGAAATATTTCACGTTTTATAAGGTGTGAATCATTCATAGATGATAAATTTCCGTGTACCCAAATAGTATTTGACAATGTCATGTAGTCATTGATTGACGAATATTCACTGGTTATTGGTATTTTTATATAGTACAAAAAACAGCAATTTCTCGTATACAGTCTGTCAATGCACTGCGGAAAAAAGTATGAGTGACTATGTTGTTAGATTAGCAGTAGTTGAAAATGCTTAATGATATTTATGGAACACAACTGAAACAAGACTTCCGCCGAGTGTTTACATTTTACTATTTCGTTGTTATTTTATTTCAAACAAACTTTGTAGTTATTTCCTTTTAGTTTTAAATTTTAATATGTTGTTTACTTAATTTTATTGTGTTTGCGAACGGAAATCAGAAAATTTTGATATCAGGACAAGAACTTTATCATTGAGTTTAAGTTTCAGTAGTTAACATTGTCGAACTTTAAGCAATCAACAGTGATCTATGATACTGCTCACAATTTTTGCAACCAGGACCTTGTTGACTTCGGTAACCACTGATCATCAAAATAATAATTAACCTGTAGATTTCAATTGATCATTGGAAGTAAGTTAGGTCATATATGAAGAAAAAGGATAGTTACCCACATAGTACAGCTGCGTATTAGGACTCTAACTTCAATCGATGAAGTTTGGAAAATAGTAATCACATATGTATGATCTAGTGGATTAGCAGTAACATAAGTACTTTGGATTTCAAAAGATGTTAAATATGCCAATCAGCGACAACAAGTAGACGTACTTATGGACGTTTTAAGATAATAAGACATCTTGTATCGACTCTTGGTAGCTTACGACTTTACGCTAAGTAATAGATAATAATTTAATGCCATTAACTGCAGTACATCCTGATAATCATAGTTGTATGACAATTTATACAAAATTCTAGTTTCCAGTGACAACAATGAATTCTGTTCAGAAGTAGCTCTTGTTTCTAAACTTATTTGATAATGTTATGAGGATATCAGCTTGATGATTGTAATGTTTTCAGATAGCCTTCATATTAACCACTTAAACAGAAATATTCTCATTAAAAAATTATTTGAACCAAAATCTTACGGTTGCTAAGGAACAAATGAAAACAATTATAAGATTTCAACATCTATTTACTTGAAATTACTGAGATAACCTTTTTTTCTCTAAAAATGTAGTTTGTTGAATGAAAAATGAACAAAACAAAAAATTATAAGTTTCTATACTAGTTTCTAAAAAACAGATTGCATCCTTCAAGACGTGTTGTTAACTGATTCAAAGGTATAGATTGTAATGGTGAATCATTTGGATTAATTTTAAACAACCATTCTAAGCTTGATTCGATATCAATCGATAGTGTATACTGTTGCTGTTGTGTTGTGATAAGTTTCCCACTTTTTGGTCTTACATTCAATGTGACAGCAGTGGATGGAGCTATGCATTCGATTGCATGCTTTACTTGAACTAATGTTACGTTGTTGGATTGTACTCCATCTGATCTGCTTGTATTTTTCACCAGATTAAAATAAACATGAAATGATAAATAATCATTTATAGTAAATTTGAAGATGGTTAAATTATTGTACATGAAGATTTCCCACTTTTCGTCATATGTGAATAATTTCGAAAGTCTTAGTCATTTTCAAATATTTATACTTCAAACTGATACAAGACATAAAGACAAAGAAGTCTCAACTGCTTAGTCTGAATCACGAACTATATAGTATTTCGAAAGACCTATCTTTACATAGATAAATACCAAATTTGCAGGTCTGACACTGCTTATCTTCACACTGCAAAATAAAAACCCAGTAAATATTGTTGACAGATTTCCCAATGGTCCATTCACACTAATATTGAACATAGCTGTGTGGCGCATATATATTTGGTGCGCCCTTGTACCATTATTTGTGTTCGAATAAATAAAATAAATGAACATAGCTTACTAATTGTTTAAGTGTGAGAAATTGCCATTTTTACTCAGTCAGCTACAACGTTCGACCAGGCACGTATATGCATCTGTCCAAGTTGCCATACCTCATTAGCACAACAAGATGAACACCGAATTCATAGTAGTTAACTCAATGGTGGTAATATATAAAAGAACGATTGCATGTAAGGATATAGTACATAAATTCATGTTATTCTGAATAGTTTTGTCTCCCAGAACAGCTTAGGTAGCTTTTTTATTTCGTTAGTTATTTTTGCGGGATTATATTTAAAGTTTTCTTTTCCCAGATTCTTCAGCTCCACAGATCCCCATGTTTCTGATTCTTATGATTTGTTAATGTTTTAGTAACTTTCTACCAAATAATGTAAATTTGCTGTTGTGTGGTGTTTATAAGCTTATTTATTCTTCTTTAGCATTTAAAACAAATGTTCACGCAATTTACGTACATACATTCATACATTTACTTTTCTTCACTTGACTCTTTAGTAACAGAATATTTTGAGTACCAGTTATTTATAGTCATGCATTACAGAAACATATCACTTTTTATCGTTTGGTATTTAACATAAAAATGGAGTCCTGCCTGTTCTGAATAATATGCATTTTATGATAAGGTTGCTGTTTCTGGTGAGATTTTCGGCGTTAATGCTTTCAGTAATTTATACATTTGAAAACCGAAAATTTCTAATTTTCGTGTATGGATCTATGTTATTCTACGTGACATTCATTTGATTGGCTTGAGATTAGATGGTGGTTGGAGGTAGTCAACAGGAAACCCTGGACCCGGGTTTCGTGCTACTTGGCACTCGTCTGCAAGGTGTACCTGTAATCTTGAGGGAACTGGTGCTCCCTGGCGGATTCGATCTCGTGTCACCCAGCTTCACAGTCAGAGACGTTACCACTGTGCTATCCGAGCCGTGACTAACCTCCTGTAGGACTGAGATGTAATCACAATTGATTGATCACTGGGTGGTGATCAATGTCGTGTCACGGCTCGGATAGCCCAGTGGTAACGTCTCTGACTGTGAAGCTGGGTGACACGAGATCGAATCCGCCAGGGAGCACCAGTTCCCTCAAGATTACAG